ACCAAATGGTAACATGGTCCGGGCGGTTTTTTTTAACCTATTTGGGTTTTGATTACTGCGTAATTTAGGACATGAGATTTGCCTTTGTCTTTTGAGGGGAATAGGAGGTAGACTTGCTTCTGATTTTATTAATCTGAGCCACACCTGATTCCTCGATAGTGTTTGAGTCACACTTTGCTAGATATTACTCTTTGACAATCCTCTGCCAGTTTTGGAGAGTTAATCCTGTTCGTTCTCAGAAGGTCAGTAGCCGTCGTCTGACTTCGGCGTCTTCTGCTGATACTAGACCTTGTGCGAAAATCAAGCGCAGAAATCATCGGCAGTCAGTTCGGCTAGTTCAAAAATCATTATCAGAGCTTATTTACCGATGCTGCAACCGTTAGAAAATCTTGATGGTTGTTTTTGACAGTTCAGGCATTTCCAAAGTTTAATGAAACAAAGGTATTGTTAGGCCCAGCCGATAGTAAAGTCTCTGAAAATCAAAGTCAGTGGTTTTTCTTGGGTAGTATGAAGTCTACTACTATGTTCGTTCCCATTTTGTCAATAGTAGACGTACCTTTTTTTACTGGGCCATTGTTCTAATCTACGTTGAAAATATCTTCGTAGTGCCTGAAAATCCTCGATCGTTTTCGTTCTCTGGTTTGAAAAGGTTTCCATTGAATTGTAATTGTACTCTGGGAGAATATTGTATCTTTTTCAGAGTTTGAGCCTTTTAATGCATTCTTTAAGTTATTTCTGTTGTAGTTCAGTATTCTGAAGCGTAATTTGTTGGAATTCCATTTGTTGTTTATGTAATTCCAAAAATAGTTTTTGTCTTTCTTCTGATTTTTGTTGCTAATCCAAATTTATTTTTAGCATTTGGGCATTTACTTTTGAAAATATTCCATATTTAGACAAACAAAATGACAATTTTTTTTGTTGCTTTGAAACCTGTGTACCAAGGAGGAGGTAAAAAAAAAATCTTGATAGGTTTTTTTTTTTTTTAAAAAAAAAAATATATGGTCAGACAAATTTAGTTAAACTAAACTAATTATGTGTTTAGCTTTTTTTGAGATTCCGTGGTTCCGTTGATTTTAACGTAATTGTATAAATTTTTTCACCACACTTATGTATTTTTTTTTATAAAGGTAAAAAAAGAAAACTCACCCTCAGTGAATTTGAGGGGAGAATAATTTTATGCACGAGTTCAACTCAGTTACATAAAAATTTTTTTATAGTTTTTTTTTGAAAACTTGAGCACAATGGTAGTACTTCGCTCTTGTGTTTGTCAGTTTGTTTTATGAACAAACTGTTTTTTTTGGGGAGAGTGTGAAATCGTTCTCAATGTTATTTGGACATACTTTACTATTCCGTAGATGTCGAATCGCTAGTTCGTCAATTCTGTTTGGTATCGGAATATATTTTTTTTTTTATGTAGACATTGAGTTGCGCGTTTAAATCGCTAATGTAATAATACAGCTAATTTCTCGTTCAACACTGCTGTGGGAACGCGGAGTTTCTGTGTATTTTTAGTACTCTGTCGCTATTGATATGGTGAGAACAGAATTCAGAATCTTTCTGTCACCACACCGATGGGACTGGTAAGGTATTGCGGTTTTCGACGTGAATGCATTTGTCAAATTCTTCGTCGACACAGATGTGGGACTGTAAGTATTGAGGTTTCGGCGTGAGGAGTTTCTCGAATTCTCCTCGCCACTTGATGTGGGGCCAAATTCGAAACACAGAAGGAAAAATGGCGGAACACGGATTAGATGTAAGAAAGATATATTAAAACAGGTTACAGAGATAGTGTCCGGATCTTACTATATGTTAGTGTCCAATACTGGTGGTCGCAATACGGCTCTCACTGTCCTGTCTCCTTCTCTAGAATGTTGTATCGCATACTTTATATAGACCTGAAGAGTCCATGCTAGGTAGGTAGTTCCATCTCACAATAAATAACTTAAAGGGATACATAAGGGGAGACATACGAAAAGAGTAGAAAAAATTTTTTTTTTTAAATTTCACTAATAAATCATTTTTATCATTATTTAATTTATTCCATCTTAAAAAGAGGTACTGTCTTGCACTGGAATCGAACTTAGAAAATGAATTAATTTAAAAAGTTTGAACCAATTTTATTGCAATAAAATAAAAAATTATATACATATTCAAAAAATCCCTTGATAAAAGTTACCGGAGGTGATTGTTAATGAATAATAAATTTTGTCACCTTTATAACATATTTACATTAATAATTTTTTAAAAAATAATTTAAAGCTCTACTTAGTATTGAGCTTTTAAGGTTTCATTTTTTCGTTAGCAAATTTATTCCTAAACAAAAACTTTCTTGAATATATATATATATATATATATATATATATATATATATATATATTTGAGTTATGAAGAACTAGGTAAAATGTTGGGAAAGGATATGATAAGTGTCCTATAAATCAATGTAAATTCCCCATTACATTTAATGAAAATAAACACTATAAGGTACCATTGTAATATTTATTTATATAAATATTTTTAAATATTTTGGCCATCATTTGAAAACAGTGTTTTTGATGATCCGGAAATAATGAGCTAAAAGGATTTTGGTGAAATCCGGTTATTGTAATGGTACCTTAACCTGTCTGTTTTTCATTACATATATATATATATATATACATATATATATATATATATATATGTATAAAATAATCAATATCAGTAAAAGTTTATTGCTTAAAAATTAATCCCATAAATATAAAAATGACTTTTGTGTGTAAATTAAAAATATAAATTATTTTTATGTTTTATATATTTGGTCAAAATGATGACAATGAGTTTAACCGTTTTTTACTGTTTTACATTTTTTAAAGACATGTCTTTTGCTTTGGAAAAGTATTAATTCCCTGACGAAAAAAAATAATTCATTACGTAGATTTATATTGAGAACAAAATTCAAGATAGCGGCATATCGAGAATTTTCCTATATATATATATATATATTATTTCCCCATTTTGATAATTTAAGACCAGATTTGAAATTTATCTCTAGGAGAAATATTTCATTCACTTTTATATTCGTGTATAAGTTCCCCTTTATGTTCATAGATACATTTTAGTATTTCTGCAAATTTCTGTAAAAGCTAGAAAGGATATGCATTGTGTCAATATATTTCAGATATAGCACTTCAGAATTATATTTTGTTATAAGTATATTTTATTCTGAATAAATATCCATAAAATCTGGATTTTACTGCGCCTGATAAAAGAAGATTTATACAGCTCAAATATCCATATTATTTCAATAGCAAGGATTGTATGAAATACATATAGAATTTAAGACGACAAAAGATAAAAATTGTGATTGTAATAAACAAGATTAAAACTGAAATGCTACCTAAAACCAAATAATGATCCATTATTAAAATACACTTGGTTTTTATATCCAAATAATAAAAAACCATATCCAAAATAATTTTAAAGAGATTATTTCTGTAAGAAAAATTCCAATCAATTCAATAATAATTTACAATAATAATAATAATAATAATAATAATCCAAGTTTTCCTACAGTAATGAAAAGATGTCGCAGGACAAAGTGGATGTACTGCATTTGGTACTGGCATAATAATACAGTATACCTATTTTTGAATTCCTCCCACCCTTTCTTTATATGAAAATATATATATATATGTATTCTGAACGTATTTTCGTATGGCATTTAACTGACACACACACACAAAAATCGAAATTCACACAAATACATGCTAATTTATTTAATTTAAAGATTAATAAAGAGAAATTGAGGAAATTCTGTTAATCCGCTTATTTATATACACCACTCTGTTAGACTAAATAGTTATCATTTGGCGAAAAAGAAATCTAAAACGAGATTCTTTAACTTCCAGAATATTTTAATGAGGGTTTTTCCTGTATTTAGCGTACTTTCTTTACTGTTTTATCTTTCCAAAAAAGTTTCAAACCAAAATATATATATATATATATATATATATATATATATATATATATATATAAATTTTTCATACATTCCATTTTAAGGGTTTCATTATTGAATATTTTCAAAGTTTTTTGGAAGAATGTGTGTTTGTGGAAGTATCCGTAGAAATTCTTTTCTGCTAGTTCAAATATGTTATGATTCAATATTGTAATGTCTTTTAAAACAAAACACCAAACATTGATTTCGTCGTCGAATAACGTTAGGACAGTTTCTTCCACTATCTTTAGTCCCATGAATTAAATAAGAAAAAAGGTTCCAGAACATTAGAAACACGTAATAAAAATGGATCAATTTTTGGTTTTATCTTTTCACTGATATATTTATATATATATATATATATATATCATATATATATATATATATATGAATAAATATGATAAGATATTAAATATTTATGGGATCAATTACTCAATATCAGAAGTGTAAATATAAATCCAACATAGGTCTAGCAATGAGGGGACAATCTGTAATAAATTAAAACCCTTATATTTAGACTGCCCTAAGAAAATGTATGATTTTGCAAATTGACATATCCAAATATATATATATATATATATATATATATATATATATATATATATAATAGATCCATCCATATATATATATCCCAGTGTGTCAAACGATTCCAAGAGGGAATTAACAGGCATAATCCATAACTGACATCCATCCAATGGCACATGGAATGTGAACAACAAATCCATCGACCGAAATATCCATCAGTCCATTCCATCCAATCCCAAGGTTTCATATTCATCTCTCCATGGATCACATTTCATCCATAAATAATGAGGATAACAGTCCAATAATCTATCCCAGTAAACTCTTGATTAATAATTTATTTTTAAAAATTGTTTATTTCATCCATCTATCCTGTCTGTCTAAAGTCATCTAATAGCAAATAACGAGAACCATCCATCAAATGGAACCTATCGTCCAGTTTATTGCATATTCATTCATATATATATATGTATATATATATATCCATATATATATATATATATCCCAGTCTATTCATATTTCATTCATCTATCTATCTATCTATCTATCTATCTATCCCAGTGTGTGTACAATCGTCTATCGTTCTATCTTCCATCTATCTATCTATCTATTATTTTTCTTATATCTATGGTGTCTAAAATTTAAAAAATTATCTAAAAGTGAAACATTTAGAGAAAAATTCCGATCCCAGTTCATCCATTATTATAGTATATAGGATAGATAGATAGATAGATAGATAGATGAATCTATCTGATAGATAGATAGATCTGATCCCAGATCTAGATAGATAATGGAATAGATGAATAGATAAAAAGCATTCTGGGAAGATAGATAGATAGATAGATAGATAGATATGTATATATATATATAGATATTCTTTCCAACTATTTATGCCTAATTTATCTATCCCAGTAGATACATATATATACATACATATATGGGTGGTGGATATGGTAGAAATGGAATTAGATTATTTGGAGGATGAAGAAATTGAGTCGATAGATAGACATTCATTATCTAGACGCGTCATCCATCTTTTGATGTTTTTCTTCTCTGATAACATGGCGCCCAAACTGTGTCTTTTGTATATTTTTTTGTTGTTTTTTCCCTATCTTTAATCAAACATTCCCTGTTCTTTCATCTATCTATCACATGTGGTTGGAATTTCGCTTCCTCTCTTACAAAGACAGACAGTTTAGAGAGCAGCGGCGCTATGTCAGAGAGTTTGCTTTTTCATGAGAGATTCTATTCTTTAAACGTTTGAAATGTTCAATTAAGGATCGCTTGCAGTCTTAAGGAGGTTGGTCACGTGTCGTTAGCGCCAGTGTTTTTCTCAGAGGAATTTTGGCCATCTGAATGCTAAGCCTGTCGCGTTCTCTTTTGCTCATCACTTTGCAAAAAATTATCTATCTAAGCATGTTAATTATTTTCATTTTTCTATCTATCTATCTATCCATCTCTCTATCTATCTATTCATTCATTTTCTGTTGTTGTTTAATTATCTATCCTTCATTTTCTATCTATTCTTCTATCTATCTATCTGTCTATCTTTCTATTCCTTTCTCCCTTTTTGGTATCTATTCATTCATTCTGTTTTTATTTATCTATCTTTTTTGTTCATTGTTTTTTTGTCTGTCTATCTTTTTTTGTTCCATCTACTTCATTCTATTTTTTTATCTATATACCTAATCATTTCATCTATCTATCATTCATCTATCTATCTATCTATCTATCTATCTATCTATATGTGTGCCTGTATAATGATGTTATAATAACTTTGAAATAAAAATGAGTGGGCAAGAAAAAAAATTTGAATTTAATCGTTCTATGCTTCATAACGTCATCTGTTTGAAACTAGCGTTTCAATGCCCATAATGAGACGTAGTGAAATGAAACTAGAACGTCTGGAATCTTAAAAACATTTAAATAATATAATAATTTTAATGTTCTTGGGTGAAAATTGACATCTCGATTAATATTTGCTTCCCTCTCTCGTTTGGCATTTGCTGTCGGCTAAAAATTAGTTTCGAGAAAGACACACAATCCAGATACGCGAATGCTACTGATATAGAGACAGCTCAGGAATATCGAACTCATTTCTCTGTCAAATACCTCTGTATTTATTAGGATTAGTTTATACGTCCCAAAACTGCAGGCCAATTAATTTGAGTTACAATAAATCACGTGTGGGAAAGTAAGTAACTTTAGCGACAATGAAGCTGGCCAAATCCCGAGCTTTAGCTGTAGAAGTTGCCCAACGATTGGAGGTAGAAATGATAGTAGCTATTTATTATACTAAGTTTAGCTTCAATCTTCAGACATGAAAAGATACAAGTAGAGAATTATAGGTTGATAGATAAAAAAGAGACCGAAATAAGGTAACTTTAATAGAATTTACGTATAAGAAGCAGACGGAAACAGAATGCTAAATAGGCACGTAGGCGTATAAATATGAATAGATATATATATATATATATATATATATATATATAGAGAGAGAGAGAGAGAGAAAGAGAGAGAGAGAGGAGATAGATAGATGCCATCTTAGATAGATAGATAGATAGATATGGGTGGGGCAGACATGGAAAAGAATAAAACCAATACGAACTGATTAAGACAGATATATAGATACATAAATGAATAGAGAAATGATTCTTAATAGACTATACAGATATAAACAGACTGAAATAGATGAAGAGGTCTGTCAATATAGTCATGGATGGACTAAATATATATATATATATATATATATATATATATATAGGGAGAGAGAGAGTGAGAGAGAGGGGAGGAGAGGGATAGACAGACAGATAGATAGATAGATAGATAGATAGATAGATAGATAGATATGACTAACCTGAGATTGTTACCTGTGAACAGATGGATATAAACAAACAGATGAATACATACAGACTGAGATAGACATATAGAAATGAATAAACGATAATGATAAAGGTGGCTACACACTTATGTTAAGACTGCGAGCTAGGTAAATAGAAATGGAATCAAATATGACCAGATTAATATAGATAGATAGATTGATAGATAGATAGATAGATACACAGATAGAAAGACAGATAGATAACTGACTGATATTAAATATTTTGATAGATAGATATGTAGATAGATAACTGAATGAGATTAGATAGATAGATAGATAGATAGATAGATAGATAGATAGATAGATAGATAGATATTAACATAATTAGATAAATCTGAATACGCTGAGGTATATTACTTTTTGTTTTAGTTATGTAAAAATGTTTTTAGAGTGAATAAAATTAGAACGAATCTAAGAGAGATATTTTGATTCATTTATTAACCATTGGCTCCCGTGAACTGTCTGCGTGCCAGAGGACCATTTCAATAACAGGTTGTATTTCTCGGCAGCTTTGCGCACATCTCACCTTTACCCGGACTTGAGATTTATTTTCATTTACTTTAGTAATTTTTTCTTAGTTGGTCTGTCTCTACTAGCCCAACGGGTTTAATTGGCTCTGGTATTTCTATAGAGCCGAGGCTAGAAATAAATTCATGTTTTTATTTTCCGTACTAATAATTGTAATATAGATAGATAGATAGATAGATAGATAGATAGATAGATAGATAGAAAAATGACTGAGATTAGACCGATAGATACACAGATAAGCGACTGAGATTAGAGAGATAGATAGATAAGTGACTGAGATTAGATAGACAGATAACTGGTCGACATTAAATAGATAGATAGATAGATAAATAGATAGATAGAAAACTGACTGAGATTAGACAGATAGATACACAGATAACCGACTGAGATTAGAAAGATAGATAGATAGATAACTGACTGAGATTAGATAGATAACTGATCGACATTAGATAGATAGATAGATAGATAGATAGATAGATAGATAGATAGATAGAAAACTGAGATTAGATATATAGATAGATAAATGACTGAGATTAGATATATAGACAGATAGATAGAAAACTGATTGAGATTAGATAGAAAACTGACTGAGATTAGACAGATAAATACACAGATAAGTAACTGAGATAGATAGATAGATAGATAGATAGATAGATAGATAGATTTTAATGGCCTGAATGTTCATGAAATTTTAGAGAATATGCGTTCTCAAACATTCAAGCCGGTAAATGGATTTAATACTGTTTAATAAAGAGAACAGCATTTACTTAAATTAATTTTACCTATTACAACAATGTATAAACAAAAAATATTAAATAATTGTCGAACTTAGCGCATTTTATTATATATTGTCATTGTTTACGTTAAGGTACGTTTCGTGAACAGATATGATCGATCGAGAAAAATCGTTCAAGATTGTGTGTTTAAAAGCATTAATTTGTACTGCTAACCAGACGATTCTTTATAGCTTAGTAATATAGCACGTCAGATCAAATGACGGTTCCGTGACACAGATTTAGTTTCTTTTAGAGAACACATTATTACGAAATTTTTCGAACATTCAGGCCGGTAAAAGTATTGTTTAATTTAAAAAACAAAACAAAACAAAAAAAAAAAAAACAGAGAATAAATTGTATCTATTAAATTAAAGTATGAACAGAAAATATATTAAATAATTGTCGGACTTAGCCCATTTGTATGTGTATATATATATATATATATATATATATATATATATATATATATATATATAGAGAGAGAGAGAGAGAGAAAGAGAACTAAGGAGATTAGATAGTTTTTCTGTTTATACATTATTTTATAGATATAATTTATAAATGGTCTATTTTCTAATTAAACAGTTACCAGCCTGAATATTCGCGAAATTTCGTAGCAAATATGCGCTCTCCGACAGGAATCGAACTCGTAACCCTTATGGAAACCGTCCATATAGCTTCATGTGTTGTTACCATTCAGCCACAGAGAAGCGTTTGGTTAGTGATGTGGGTGCCAAAGTTGGGACCACTGAAGTAAAACACGGAACACGGATTAGATGTAAGAAAGATATATTAACAACAGGTTACAGAGATAGTGTAAGCGGAGCTTACTATATGTTAGTGTCCAATACTGGTAGTCGTACGCGGCTCTATGTCACTCTGTCACTGTCTAGAGTGTTGTGTCGTATACTTAATATAGACCTGGAAGAGTCTATTGTGTAGGTAGTTCCGGTCTGACAATACCCCCCTTCCAAAGAGTTTTCTTTTTGAAAAGGAGAGAAAAAATAAAACTGTTAATACTTTTTCCTCTTGGGATTTACGTCGATCGGTTGAGTAAATTTCCTTTTCCTTCCTGAGCGTCGCACTTCAGGAGAGACTTGGCGCATGTCGAGATCGAACTAGAGATCTTGATGCGTGAGCCACAGATTTTCGCGAACCATCTGGCAGTTTATGTAAAATGCAAGCACCAATGCCGTACAAGCTTGCATCACTTGCGACTATGATGTCGAGACTAGGGTCGTAATGGGTGTGGGAGAGGTCTGAAGTAAGAGTTTTCTTGAATTTCTCGAATACGTCTTGGCATTCCGGGGTCCATGACCATGGTTTGTCCTTTTTTAAAAGTTGGTTGAGAGGCCCTCTCAAATTTTGCATGTTCTTAATGAACCCTTGGTAAAAGTTAGCTAGGCCGCGGAAGCTTTGTAACGCTTGAACGTTATCTGGGGCCGGCATGTTTCTGATCGCGTTGGCTCGTATTTGATTGGACTTCTTTTTTACGTAGACCGTAGGTGCTGCCCACTCGCTGAAATCTGTTTTTGACAGAATACCTGCTTGTTCGAGTCTATTTAACTCTTTGTTGATTTGCTCTAGAGCAGCGAAAGTGACATTCCGTTTCTTTTTGAATACCGGTTGTGCACCGTCCTTCACCTTGAATTTAGCTTTCATTTTAGTACATTTCCCAAGGCCGCCAGAAAAAACCTTGGGAAATTGTTGTTTGGGTTCCTTTTTGAGATTTACCAAATTGGACGTTGTACTTTGTATCTTGCGACAAAATGTACTCATTGGGCAATCCCAAAGAGTGATTTTTTCTATCCAATCAGTTCCAAATAATTTGTCTGAAGTTTTTAATACGTAGGCTTTGAGTTTTTGGTAACTCCATTTAGTGTTACTCTAAGTATTACCTTTTGCCTAAAATGTTAATTTTTTTACGCCAGTTAATGGTTTAAAAATCGGATTTTGGAATTTTATCCGTTTTTTCCTTAAATTCCATAAGGTTGGCTTTTTTAATTTCTCGTTCTGTTGGCGTACCAGCACGAAGTTAAAAGTGCCCACTTTTATTGCAATTTTGCAATATTTTTTGTTCTTAACTGACAGAATTTCATCCAATGCCATTTACCACAATGGTAACATGGTCCAAGCGGTTTCTTTAACTTATTTGGGTTTTAGTTACTGCGGAATTTAGGACATGAGATTTGCCTTTTGTCTTTTGAGGGGGAATAGGAGATAGACTTACTTCTGATTTTATTAATCTGAGTCACATCTGATTTCTCGATAGTGTTTGAGTCACGCTTTTCAGATATTACTCTTTGAAAGTCCTCTGCCAGTTTTTGGAGAGTCAATCCTTGTTCGTTGTCAAGCTTGGTCAGTACCCGTCGTCTGACTTCGGTGTCTTCTGCTGATACTAGAAATTGTGCGAAAATTAAGCACTTAAAATCATCGGCAGTCAGTTCGGCTAGTTTAAAATCATTACAGAGCTTGTTTACCGATGCTGCAAACGTTAGAAAATCTTGCTGGTTGTTTTTGACTGTGTTCAGGCATTTCCAACGTTTGTGGAACAAGGTTGTGTTAGGCCCGAATAGTTCCGATAGGAGCT